AGATCGCTTCCCTTGGAAAGATAGCAGCGGCTACAATGCGCGGAGGGGGCTGGGGAGGGAACGGACAGGGGTTTATTTGCAGATCCTGGATAAAAGATGATATATCGACACAGTTTAGAGTATCATTGCGCCTGGCCTCTTGGGAAGCCACAAGTACATATTTCCTGAAATACCGGCCAACACAATATCCAATCCACATGCCACTTAAGCACGGGAGGGGAACCTCAGCATCTCACTAGTTTGCGCCTGGTTTCTTAGTTCTGCGTGGGGAGACCTCACCTGGGCAAGATATGGGGCCCCTGAATGCCCTCTCCCCTGGCCTTTGTCTTTAGTCCAAGTAATCACTTAGTGATGGACCTTAATAAATACATCTGAGAACTGTCCTTATGCTCTGTAAATATTGGATTAGCTTTTCAATGACCAGGCTCTTGAAAAGGCTCGAGAAATCTACACCAGGTCTCAACTAAGCCCAACAGTCAATAGGTAAGGAAAATAAGCGATTTCTCTTGCTGGGTGTAGGGGACTTTGAGGAGGGGGGTTCCTAGACTCTTATCAAGTTACTTGATTCTACTAAATACGACAGTAGTACTATGTAGGAAAAGGGGGAGTGCCCAAATTTTGTATTAGCAAAATTTCTACCATCTCTGTTGTGCTCCTTAAGACTGAGTCGCTTTGAGCAAGGGGGACATGTGTGATTCTATTGTTATTTTCACAGTGCTCAGCATGAATTTTTTGTGTTTAGTGACCCAAATGATCCCCGACTGCCCCACGCTAACTCTGGACTGCTTAGGTGAGGCAAAATGGTCAAATTTCTTGGGAGCTCTGCTCTGTCTCCTTGTTATTGATTTTTTCTTACAAAACGATGCTGGAGACAGTAAGAATTAAAGAGCAAGTCCCTCTCTCCTCCAACACCCGGAGGGGGTACGGCGAGGCTGGTAAACGAAGTGGGATCCCTGCGCATAATTCGAATGACAGGGGGTTAGTAACTGGGTGGTACTGCTGGGTAGATGTGGCCTTGGAATCAGCCGAGGCTGAGATTGAGCTGGGCCTAGGACGGAGGGGTCCCCTGGCCTTCCCAAACCTTTTCTGCAGTGCGTGGAAGGGTGGCTCCGTGAGCGGATGCGTCAAGACGCGTCCGGTGCAGGAACCAGGGGAATGGATTTTTATCTACCCTGGAGCCCCACGAAGCCTGAGGGGCATTACCCAGGCCCTAGGCACCCTGGTCTCCTCCTGAGTCTGGCAGAGTCCAATGACTTCGATGAGGAGCTCCAGCTGAAGAAGCCCAGCTGCCATCTCCAACGCACGCAAGCACGCAAAGCGCGCGCAATGAATTTAACACCAAAGGCCCGAGCTCTAGAGGTACAGCCGATGTTTGGTAGGAAATATAGAGAAGAGAGGAGAGAGAGAGAGAGATCTCTCCAGGGAGAGAGATTCAGAGATCCAGCTTTCAGTGTGTTACAGGGCCTAAGCAGGGCGAGCGCTCTCTGAAGCCATCAAAGACAGGGGTGGTTTTTTTTTTTCCAACCTCCTCCAACCTCCTCCCCAATAGATATAGCACGAATTTTTAATGCGTCTTCCTTTCAGAGACAACAATAAAGGGTTTGAAAGCCGGACACAATTTGGGTTTTGTGCGGGTCCCTCCTCGCGCTCCCTCGGCCCAGCTGGCCATATGGAATCCAGCATGGAGCCCGAGGATGACAAAGGGACCCAGTGACAGGCCCAACAAAACCCCAAGGAGACTTCTGCCTGACTCCGGGATTCACTGCCCGCGATAAGCGCACTGAATGGTGCGGGGTGGAGGGGGGGCGGGGCGAGGACTCTCTCTGTCCCCTGAGATCCATTCTCTGTCCCTTTTTAGTATGCACGCCTCTAACATCCCCTGCTTCCAGCTCTCCCATTGTGGCGTTTTGTGCGGCCCGCTGTAGATTGGGCGAAGATAGACTGCTGAAGCGGACCTGGAGCCGGGTTTGCTCCCAGGGCGCTGGGGTTAGGGCCACACAGGGCTCCCCGGGCACTTTTATTGACTCCATGGGGACCCGAGGACAGAGAGTGGCGGGCGCTTGGCCCACCTCCCCGGGTCCTGGCTGCGCCAGCGCACACTCAGACTGCAGGACTGTGAACCTGGCCAACGCCCCAAATGCACTCTCAATGCACACACAGTGGAAGCCTGCGAGAATTTGGACTTTCCACTCTGATTCCTTCCTCCCTGGAGGCCTAGAGGATCCTATGAGTAATTTTGGCCCCCGGAAGCTCTGAGGTCAAGAATGGAGTTTTGGGGCTGTGCCTGAGACCTCCTGACAATCCCATTCCGAGAGGCTTATAACTCTCATCTCTCTTCCCAGTGGATTCGAGGGTTACAGGGAAGTTACAAGTGAGATGCTGAGTGGATGGTCAAGTTGGGCATTCGATTATTGCGCAACAAATGACTAAACGCAGAATTCTCCTGGCATTTACAAATAGCAAGAAACAAAACCCCCAAACGTTTCCAAGCTAGTGCGAGGGAACAAAGGGAGACTTTTCAGCACTTAAGAAAACCCGGATGGACCTGGAGATGTGAAGGGACATTTGGGAGGATATTAGAAAGACTCCCGCGCCCTCAATTATCCAGGGGCGGGTGCGCAACGCGGGAATAACGTGTAATCACGTCCCTGGGCGTGTTGTGCTGAGTGCTATTGACGCGCAGATTTGGTCACACGGATAATCATGTTTGCTTTAGATATTGAATTAAATCTGATCATCGACTAGAGGGAGCGAGAAAGTCAGCTGAGACCGCTCCTTTTGCTCGGCCCCCTCGCCCCGCCCCCCTCCAACCACGAAGGTGGAGCTGGAGAAGGAAAGAGAAATACAATTTCCGAATAGAGCCGACTTCAATTCTGAGGCGTCTCAAAGGGCCCGCTGGGCTCTGAGCTACACAACCCCGGGTATTTTCAGAAAGCCGTGAGATAGAGGAGAAAGGGCCCCTCCCCCCAAGTCCACACGGCTCCCTGAGACGCTCCCCCGCAAGGGCAAATGTGCACCAGCATCCGCCAAGGAGGTCTCTGCGACGGGGGTGAGGGGGAATCCGTTGTCTACTGGAGAAGGACCGATGCGCCCTCCCCCGGGCAAACCCGGGGTTGTTTGCTCACTTTCCGCTCCTCTCATCCCAGCCCTGGAGGCCGGGGCGCACCACCCCACCTACAAACCCCCTACTTTCTAGCCAGCAAGTTACTCAGCTTCACGCTAAAGAGCTGGCCTGGGAGATCGCGCGCAGCCAAATGCTAGGAGGGGACGAGGATCGGGATCCAGTCCAGGGGCAGGGGACTGGAAACCTGGATTTAACGGGGGCAGAGGGGAGAAGGGAGCCTCGATTAGCAGGGATTTCCACTGACTCCCGCTCCCTGGCTCTCCTATGCCAAAAAGCCTAGAGGGGATTCAGCACCCCACTCCCTCTCCAGCGTTCCTTATAGCCAAAGGAGCCTCGAGCTCCCCGAAACCAGACCCCCGCCCCCGAACTCAGTTCTTGGAGCGGTCTCCTAGGCCGCCTCAGGTCTGCGGAGTTTGAAAAGGAGGTGGAGAAAAGAGAAAAAACCGACTAGTTTTAGCCTCAGCGCCTCCCACCCCACCCTACCCCCGCTACCCATCCCCCTTTCTTAGAGCGAAGTAAATCAAATGCAACAAAGTGAAAGTCATCGAGTGTAGTGGCTTCGACAGCTTCTCAGGCTGAAGGAGCCACTCGTAGATTTGGGCGAGCGAGGGGGGCTTGCTCCCTCGCCTTTGCGTTTTCCAAAGTTACTTTTTCTGCCAAAGCTAGGACGCCGCCGCCCTGGATTCAGACTGCGCGCGAGGCCGGGACAGAGGCCCCGGAAAGGGCGGGCGACCCGGGGCTTTCGGTCGACAGCTCGCAGGCCGGAGACCAAGCGCTCCTTCCGCAGCCTGGGGTCCGAGGTGCGGGGCCAGGCCCGCCCGCGCAGGTGAGGCCTGTCCAAGATCCTCTCCTGCGCCCCGGGCATGCCTGGCAACGACGGGAAGCACGGGTGAGAGAGCTGCAAGCGGCCTGGCCTGTGTTCTTGCCCGAGGCCTCGGCCTGGCGTAGGGAGACAAAGTAAGACAAATGGGAGGGCCGGGTTTTTTGTTGTTTTTTTTTTAAACACAGGATTTTTATTAAAATTCTTATTTAAAAAATCGAAAGCTTTCAGCGTCCGGCGCTCTTGGGGAACCACACGGAACCGCTGAGATTCAAGCACCGGGGCTCAGGACCCGGATAATGGGGCAGGGGGCTTCGTGCCCACAATATTTTTCCTTTTTCATATTTGAGAAATGTTTGCACTGAACAAAATAAAAAATGAAAAGGAGAAAGCAGGGCCAATCAAACATAAGCAAACCAAAACAAACCACGAAGAAAGGAACCGGGCCTCAAGGGAGAACAAGCCCATCCTGAAGGTCATTTTGGCAACAATCACCACCGATATTTACAACGAAAAGCGAAATCTGTCACCAGTTGTCAGAACGTTTACATGGCCATAAATATTTAGCATTTTTTTTTATAAAAAAGGAGAAAAACCCTTTATATTTTTTTAAAGTGTTCTCCACTTGCTTTAGAAGAAGACAGTTGACTATCGCTACTCACACAAACATATTTTACAAAATCCACAAAAGCAGGAGGGGGGGTGGTCCTCTTCTTGTTCTCAAGTGAGGACGTTAACGCTGGGACGATTTGGTCCCCCCGGGGAGAGGCAAAGAAGCAAAGCTGCGCAAACATTCTGTAAACAAGGCTTATAGTTCAGCCCTCTCCAAAGGTTCAAAAGGGAGAGGGAAGGGGCAGCGCTGGGTGGATGGAATCAGCCACGCCAAGGAGGCGCAGGCAACCTCCCGGCGCCTCCCCAACGGAGCCGAGAATCAACTCGACTCCACGATAATAATTATAATAATAATAATAATAACCACCATAAGGACTAAGTCCTCTTCTCTGCCGCCATCGCCGCCGCCGCCGCCGCCGGGGTGGGGCCTGGGCTTGGGGCCGCGAGTCTCGGAGGGGCGGCGCTCACCAAGTCCACTGCTGGGCCTGGACCAGGGGGTGTGCTGTCGGGTACTGGGGGGTGCCTGCCGAGCTGTACTGGGCGTTGTACTGCATGTGTTGCAGAGACTGCGCGCTGTAAGCCGAAAAGGGGATGCCCGCCTGGAAGGTGGCAGCTGCCAGGTCCTGGGCTTTGAGCGCGTGGCACGGTTTGCCGTCCCTGACCAAAACGGGCACGGCCACCCGGCGCGGCGAGGGCAAGGGCGTCACCTCCATACCTTTCTCAGCCCGAGCTCGCTTCATCTTGTAGCGGTGGTTCTGGAACCAGATTTTGACTTGCGTGGGAGTGAGGCGGATGAGACTGGCCAGGTGCTCGCGCTCGGGCGCCGACAGGTACCGCTGCTGCCGGAAGCGTCGCTCCAGCTCGTAGGTCTGCGCTTTGGAGAAGAGCACCCGCCGCTTCCGCTTCTTGCCCGCGTCCCCCGCGCCGCCTGGTGTCTCCTTGTCATTGTCCGGTGACTCGTCAGCCGAGGGCTCCGGAGACTTGGAGCTCGAGTCCTGGGGCGCCGCGCTAGCTGCCAGCCCGTGCACTGCCGGAGAGAGAAGCACGTCAGGTGCCTGGAGGCCGCGCGCCAACTGGGCCAGACCCTGCGCACCTAGATCTTCCGTGCGCCGTCCGCCCCCACCGCAACCCGACCTCACTGTCTTCGCCTTGCCCCCTGCCCCGCTCCACTCCTAACGAAGCACTCAGTGTCCCCCTGGGGAAAGAGGGGAAGCAACAGGAGTGGGGACTCGGGGCTCGTGTTTCTGGGGGTTCACACAGTGTGGGTGAGTATTTGGGGGCAGTGGCGCTGGAAGAATATCATCTTGGGTTAAGGGCTTCGGCCCCCTTAAGCAGTTTCCTTTCCGGAGAGACGTGGGCAGATTTTTAAAAGAAAAACCCTACAATCCCGGCATTGATCGGCTCGGCCATTTAAGGCAGGTTGTGGGGGACTTTCGTTTTTTGCCTTTAGACTTTTTTGACACCCTCCGCATCACACAAAGCATCCTCTATGATCGTTCAGGGGGCAGGGTGAGCTATTTATACCCGGGCCACCGGGAGCCTCCCCCACCCTCTACCCGTACCCGAGTCTTTCTGGCTCGCTCCAGTGCTCCAGGCCAGTCCCTCCCGGCTGTCGGAATGAGGGGGGCCGCGGAGGAGGGGGACCACAACGGGAGCCACCAGTCCCGGTTGACTTCTGTAACCAGCCTCGGGAGGTATTCCCCTCCTCTTAATTTCTCTTTGAAAAAATATCTGAGACCAAGTCCTTTTCTAGGACTAGAAGCGCTTGACAAGGAAGAAAGAGTTAGGGCATCATAAACAAGTGTTAAAAATCTTTCTAGGGGCTCAGGGTGAGAGATCTG